TTCTTGGCCTATAAGGCAGCACATTTTGGGATTTTAAACACTCTATCATTTATACAATGGTTTGGATAAAAAAAAATATTTAAAAAAACATTAAAAATCATTTGATTATCAAAACAAAATAATATGTGCAACTCTACCTTGACTTCTTCCTCGACATGTCTTTTGAGATCCTCAATTTGCTGAGTAAAAGCCTGTTTTCCTCTAGTTAACTGTGAAACAAGTGCTTCTTTCTCTTCCAGTTGACGGCTAAATTCACCTTAAAAACAGGTTACAGATATTAGCATGAAACATAATAACAGAATCTTTTAACTTAATTTAGTTTTGAGGTTGTTTACATGTGTAGCTTACTATCTTACCATTTTCAGTCTGAAGTCTTGCTCGTTGTGCATTCATGTCGTTCAACTGGCGACTATTTTCATCACTTTTGGCCTTGATTTCACTCAGCTGGTCTTCAAGAGTGCGGCACATCTTCTCTAAATTACCCTAAAGAGATTAGAGATTATATGAATATGTTTGTAAAGATGATTTTGTACTTATTAATGATCATCTAGTCAATCTGAGCAGCAGTGGCACCACCAGCTTCCTCAAGCCTCTCACTGATCTCTTCAAGTTCCCTGGAGAGATCAGCTCTCTGCTTCTCCACTTTGGCACGAGCAGATCGCTCTGCCTCAATTTCCTCTTCCAGCTCCTCGATACGGGCCTAAATGAAAAAAAAGACTTCTTTATTGATGTTTGTAATATGGATTTTTCCAGCTATGCATCTACGTCACCATTACACATCAGAACGATTAGGGTTAGTGTTACCTGAAGTTCTTTGATCTTCTTCTGAAGCTGTGCTCCCAAAGTCTGTTCATCCTCAATCTTGCTGAGAAGTTGACTTATCTCAAAGTCCTTCCTGTTTTTAAAGTATTGTTTTGTAAAATGTGCCAAACACTTATTTTGTGTAATTGTGTAAAGTTCCAAATCTGATGGTCACTCACTTTTTGATCTTCTCATCTGATTGCTGTTTTTCATTCTCCAGGTCCATTATGGACTCCAGAGCCAGTTTCAGATCACCCTCAAGCTTCCTCTTGACTCTCTCAAGGTCCATACGGAGCTTCTTCTCTTGCTCCAATGAACCCTCAAGCTATTGTTACAGAAACTGGATCATTAAAATCTGGTATAGAGCAATACATTTGATTTCTTATTGATTCATGGTCTCATTCTTATGCCAAACATCTTACATCGTCCACTTGCTGCTCAAGCTTTGTCTTGGATTTAGTCAGAGTGTTGACTTTGTCTTCCTCTGCCTGAAGGTCATCAAGAGTCTGCTGGTGTGCCTCTTGGAGGGCTTTCTTCTC